CAATATCCTTAATGCACACTATAAATAACAAGATAGTAAAATAGACTCCCTGGTAGGCCAAAGTGTCAATGGATATTCGAAAACCGATTAAACTGACCGAACTGTACCGCACCGAACCGATTTTTAGGTTTCTTTTTAAGAACCGTAGGTTTTTATATAAATCTATAACTGCACCGATAATTAGGGTAGGTTTTTATTTTATAAAAATAAACCAAAAAAATACCGAACCGTACCGAATAAATTTTACATGTGGAAAATATATTTATTTAGTAAGTTTAAAAATAATAATGCATTAAATTTTCTTTGGGCCTTGGAATTATGAAAACTATTACAAGCCAATAAGTAATTAAACTCAAAATACTAATTCCTAAAACCTATTATGCTACTTCTACTTAAACTAAGTTATTTCAAGTATCTTTATTAGCAAGACACAAAATATTCTAATGATTATGAGTAGCAAACTACAATGTATTGAATATGTTTTCTTTCATATAATTTAGATTTATCTTTTTGAATATTTAATCTTCTATAGACTTTATTCTTGAGTCCCAACTTGGTATATCTTTCAACTCGTGTGATTTATATTTTCTTTGCCTTTGTTTGATTTCTTTTACATTGTTGTCGAATAGTTGATGGATCTATACTCTAGTCATCTTTCTTTTTTTTAAATTCATCGCCCTTTAAACAGTAAAAATGTCTAGAGAGTTTTGCTAAGTCCTATAAAAGAACGTATGTTATTGCATTCTACTTCTACTGGTGAGTTTTACATGATATTAAAAAAAATATCGAAAATTAACCAAACCGTACCGATACCGAAGAGAAACCGACATGATTGGGATGGTTTCGAAAAGTCTAGTTTTGGTTATACATAACAGAATAACCGAAAAATTGGTATGGAACAAATTTTATAAAATAATCGGCCGAACCGAACCATTGACACCCCTAGACCAAAGGCTGAAGCATTAGCAGCTCACGGGATACTCATACTTCTCCCAGGTATGATCCTTTGTGCGGGCACCCTACACTTAGTTCCAACCACCTGCTCGCTTTTGCATACTTCCTATTAGATTTGACTCCATGCTCATACTCCCACACAAAAATAACACCACAAAGATAACATAATTAAAAAATAACAAAAATAAAAAGAAACAGTAAAGTTGGGTTGTCTCCCAACAAGCGTCTTATTTATACTTGTGACACCACTTCACCACTTTTTCCTCCACCTCAAAGATATAAATTGTATCCCAAAATTTAATTCAGGCTTGCAGTTATGATCCTTGGATGGTGGTACAAACCCAACATAACCAAGTAACCAATTTCTCTTGCACTTCTTGGGCTATAAGCGAGGGATATCATTTTGTCTCCTTGGCAAAGCAAATCTAAGAATAAATGCATTTTTTCCCTCTTCCCTATACTCCTCCATAGGCTCGGATGGATCTGTTCTTGTATTATCAACCATACACAATGTTAAAAAGTGGTTAGAATGAGGCCCAATACGTTCCAACTTTAAAATCGCTTCACTTTTGACATCCTCAATTTTGCACATTTTGTCTACCTTGGCATCATCAATAATATTTTGGTCAAATGGTTGGAACTCCTCTTTATGATCCACAAGCTGGCCAGTACCCATAATTAGTTGTTGGGCATCAGACGCCTCAATCTTTTTATTCAATTGAACCAGCATGTCATAGATATCTGAGCCAAATTGGTCTATCTCTTACCGGAGCTCAATTCTTCCTTCTATCAATTGTTTTGCCATATTTGAAAGACTATTGCGGAGAAATTCATATAATTTTATTAGTTAAGCTTGCTCCTCTAACCAAAATTGGCTCACAATATCTGCTTCTTCAAAGGTATCTTCCTGTTAGAACTCGATCTCTTCAGACAATTCTTCATCCTTGACCTTCATTCTCGTGATTGATGTACTAATTCTCTTTATTACTTTTTTATTTTCATCTTGTTGATTGGCTACTTGCCTCACCATGTCTATAATATGGGCAGCACGTTCCACGTCCTCTACTCTATTCCTAATATCAAACTCAAAAATATTATTAGAAAAATCATAATAAGAGCTCTGAGAATGATAAAAAAAATTAGGACAGCCATCCCAATTGCCACCTTGACCATCATAGGTAGGGGTGTTCATGGTTCGGTTTGGATCGGTTTTCCCCAAAAAAGAACCAAACCAAGTAAGTTGGTTTTTCAAATATTAGAACCAAACCAAACCAATTAAGTCAGTTTTTTCTTGATTCGGTTTACGTCGGTTTTTCGATGTTTCGGTTATTTGTCGTTTTTTTCTTAAATATAAGACATACACTACCAAACACATATTTCGGCGACCACATTTTCAACGTAACTCTATCAAATCAATTGCCCTTTGAGAAATCTATTATTTACCAAGATATATTAATGATAATTGAATCAAATAGTGATGAATAATTTAAGGACTCAATTAAAAATATATTATTTTTCACCTGAAATAGATTCTTACATTTAAAAAAAGAAAACTACCAATCAAACTAGATGTAAAGGTAAAGACCTGTACTAAAAGTGCAAACGATTAACATTTACTATAAAAAATTTGAAACTTTGTATAAAAGTATACATATATATAGGTGTAATAATAAATTTAAAATAGCTACTCCTATATTCGGTTTGGTTCGGGTTTTTTTTATTAAAACCAAAACCAAACCAAATTTGATCAGTTTTTAAATTTCAAAACCAAAACTAAACCAAACCAAAAAGTATCGGTTTGGTCTGGTTTTCAGTTTGGTTCGGGTTTTCGGGTTTTTTTGAACACCCCTAATCACAGGTATTACATATATTTCACTCATAGAATTGAAATTCACAATTTTGCCACAAATATGGTCCTCCATAATATCGGCAAGGATCACATAAATAACAATAATCAAAATTCGACCTATTCTTGTTCCAAGATGCCATGTAAAAAAAAATATTAAACGAAACTAAAACTAAAAACTTGAATAGACAAAAAGTAAAAATCTAATAGAAAAGAACAATTAATTTTTAAGTCCCCGGCAATGGCGCCAAAAACTTGTTGCTTCTAACATGCAAGTATACGTGGTTGACAAGTAATAAACTGATAAGTAGAGTAACATTCCCACGAGGACTTGTAATTAACTAATAACTAAATGAAACTCAAACAGTTAATCTATTCAAACGATTTTCTAAAGTGCGACTATTCAACTATAGCTAATCTATAGTAGTAAACTAAGAAAGTAAGTCTACAAGCTTAAAGACGAATTTTGGGAGAAAATATTTCCAGAGCTATGGGTCAACTGACAATCCCGTTGAGTCTTCCATTTAAATTGTCTAATTAATTTATCTGATTTATTGATTGATAGGGTTAATATTACTCGTAGCATTCGACTGTAGTACTACTCGCCTATTCAAGTTATTCTAACGCCTATATTCCTATGAAATTAGAATTAACAAGAACACGTTAATAAGTCCCATATAGTAACCAAGCAAGGCGATTAGGTATATCCTTATCCTAACCGCGAATCCATTCTCTAATACTAGGTTCAAGATCTTTCTTTACTCCATCCTATTTGCAATCTAAAATTCCAGCTTCCAAGTTCAATCATAGATTCGTAGATAGTATTTAATTGATGATCAAGCAATCAAATAATTAAACGCAAGACTGAATAAATAAACTAATATGATAAAATAATAAGATCAATTCAAGCTTCAAACTACAAACGTTCATATAGCACCACAACTCTAGACCTAATAAACTATGAGATTAGGAAAAGAAGAGAAGAAAAACTAGTTGGAAGCCTCCTCCCGGAGTGGATGTTATTCGCACCTGGATTTACGTTATATGTTTCTCTCTTATACTATGACGGGTTGTGAGGGTTACATGATTCTTCGTGCGCATATTGTGATTCAGTTTAGGACTAAATTCATAAACATTCTAATTTGAAGATTATTTTTTTAGATTCTTGAGATTTAAAGTTATTAATAAAAAAAATTACGAATAATTTATTCTCCTAAGACATTATTGATCGATCTTAGGTAATAGAATCAGATTCAATAAGTTGACAATTTGATAAGGAAATAATTTTTGAATGTTTTAAGAGCCGCTATACAGTGTTATTTTCTCTAAAAAATCATGTTAAAATGTACTCTTTTTTTACTAGGTCTTACGCGGTGCAAATCCAAATTAGTTAGGACCTCAATGCGAATTCCAAACCCTTATAAATTTTGGGGACTAAAGCCCTTGCTTTACATCTTGTTTGGATGGTCGTTAACACCCGACATCCCCAGCAGAAGTGGCGTGTTCTCCTTTCAAATTATATTAGATCTCCTCCAAATTAGGTTTAAAATCCTTTTTATACAAGTTGGGACCGAGTAAAGTCAAAATAACTTTATCCCGGACAAAATAGGAAAAATCCCATAACGGAGGGACCAGGCCATGCGACCCCTGGAAGCAGTACGTTTTGCACCTCCAATTCCAATTCCTTGCTCCTAACTTTCAATTGCATTATACTTTACTAACCAATCAATCATTATGTAATGTACATAACTTTATCTTTTTTTCTCCAAAATTTCATCTATTACTTTCCAATATATCTACATTATCAATTAACACTCAAAATACTATAAAGCTCAATACTCGAGTTAAGTTGGGCATATACAATACAAAATACAATCAAAAAGCGCGATAAAAATGCAGAATAAATAATATCAAAACATATGAAATTATGCCCAACATCATTACCAGGATACGATCTGAGGCACCAAAGCCAAGGATTGATAGTCCAAGTGATCCATAGTCCAAAAAATTAAGATTGTGTTAGACAAGCGAACATTACGTGTTAGACGATGCTAGCAACAGATAAGGATAATACCAAAGAGAGTCATTAATCATGATGGAGATGTTTGTTGCTTCGTGGAGGCTTACCATGAAGAAACCACCAAACCACCCTTTTTCTTTTTCTTTTTCTTTTTCTTTTTTTGGAAAAAGGTAAGAGTTGTACTAAAAACCCAGAACAAAGGTTGTGCTGGTAACCATTAAGATATTCTTAAGAAGTAATCAAAACATATTCTTGTTCTTCTTACAAGAACTCTATAACATCTAAAATCGATTCTTCATCACTTACATAATTTCCTTTACACCAAAACTGAAGCAGCAGAATGCAATTCATCTTTTTCTTCTGAACAGAGCTGTTTCTGTCTTCAAAACACCTGGCGTTCTTTTCCTTCCGGGAAATCTACCATATCACATAAGTGCAATGCTTTCCTTTGTTTGTTACTGACTGTCTGCATGGCCATAACAAACATTCCCAACGCGATTATCTCATGTGCAATTGAGGAGATGGGCAAAAGTCTAGCAAACGTGTTTCCTAATAGGTCCTTTTGTGTGTAACAATTTTGGAAACAAACTAAGATCCAATTGTAATCCGACCAATGCCATTATCATAATAAAAAATGTCCCTCTGTTGTTGGGCGCTCAAAAGGAAGTTGATTTATTCTTTTAGAGTTTTGACCTGACCCAAAGAGCATGCCATGTATTGGGGTGCTGGCTAAAGGAGAACCACGCTAGTTACTTGCACAAAATACGTTGGATGTCCCTGTTGTATAATGCTCTATCTTTGGCCCAGACTTTGCAACCGGTTCTGCAGGATCGGGAAAAGGTTGATCAGCTCAAGGTCAAGGAAATTCCATAGAAGAATGCACAGTTGTGCATCTTCTTTAATCCATGCTCCTCAATCAGATATCTGAGAACTTTTGACTCAATGCTCCTAGTATACTTAATCCACGAACCATAATTGCACTGCTACCACCCAAGAGACATGATTCTCGCTACCTGGAAGTTAACATTAGTAAATAGTAGACAAGGGAATGGAGGGAAAAGAGGTGCTCCAATAATTGAATTTTTCTTTTGTTAATGATAAGAAAGCATACAAAAGAAACAGAAAAGAAAGCAGATAAATTTTTTCTGGACCGAAAAGATAGCAGATAACTTTTTTCTGGGACTTACAACTTGCGCTGTTCAGAGAAGACTCTAAAGCAATCAAAAGTAGAATTGAGAACAACAAGAATCAAATTGAAAATGCAGGAATTGAAAGAAAAATAAGAGAGCGAAAGAGAATGTAGGAGGTTAAAACCAATACCAAGAACGCCGGAAACTCTTGAGATCTGAGAGCAAGGAATAAGCTAAGGATGGTTCAGGAAGTTCAGTTAATCTTGAAGACGTTTATGTCGAAGAGAAGAGATCATCAGAGATGACATCACACATGAACACATGGGACGGCGATGACAAGGAGAGGAGGCGTGTGTGATTCGTCGACAATGGGCTTTGGGTGGTAGTGAGCTAGTGTCACTGCGACTGAGAATACTGTCCTCTGCAGTGACAAGCTGAACGGTCTTGGGTTAATTATGAGTTGCACCTTTCTCTTTAAATTTCCTTTTTCATAAAGCACAAAAAGAGTGAAAAGTGAACCAATCTAACACACTACGAACAAAATGAGAACAAGGGGAAAAGAAGTACCTTTACTGCCACAGTGTCGAAAACTGAACCAGCAAATCAACCGTAAAGGCTGCATTTTCACCTTCACCAGTCATACAGAAATCCTAAGCAATCCCCGGTGCCTCACCTCTTTGTCAGCCTGGTGCAGCTATGCTGGGTCTGATGTCTTTCGTTCTTCTAATCTTGAGTTGTTATTACAGGAAAGTTCCAGCCTTTTGAGAGAAAGCGGTAACGATCAGTCCTAAAGTGATCCTCAGGCTTCCAGCAATGAGAAATCAGAAACTCCTCAATCAAAACCTTACCAGCTTTTGAAGAGAAAATTGTGGTGTTAATGGCTGGGACTTTAACCAACTTTCTTGGCCACACATGTCAAGCACAATTTAACTTTTCGGTTATACAAGTGGGGAATAAATTTGAGAAGATTCAATCAAATACACAAATAGCCAGGCGATCTCATACACAATAAGAGTTGGTTCTAGGGACGAAGTGGCTTAGTTGAACATAGTGAGACTAAGGAACGAAAGGTCAAACCCAGAAATGTGCAAGTGAGACCCAGCAAAAGAAGTTTTCCGCGCGAAAGAGTGGAAAAGGAGAATGAAGATTCAGCTGTTGAGAATCCAGAACAAGTTACAATGTAGGGGTATGGCTTCTGAGGTTGAATAAGAATGGGTCAACTCACATGGTACAAAATGTCCTGAGGAAAGCTAGAGACTGACAAGAGAATGGAGAACAGATAGCTGGCAAGCTAAAATGACGTATCTGGGTTGTAAAGTAGAGAAGTTCCCAACAGTTTATTTAGGGTTTCCCTTGGGGGTGAAGAGGTATGATCATACTATTTGGCAAGGGGTCCTGGACAGGTGTGCTAAAAAGTTAATTCCATGGAAGAAATAATACTTATCTTTTGGGGGTACACTTACACTAACAAATAGTGTGTTAGATGGAATGCCAACTTATTTGATGTCTTTATTCCAATGCCTGCAACAGTGGAGAAAAGAATGAATTCCATGAGGAATCAATTCTTATGGGATGGAAATGCCACTAAGAGGAGAATACATTTAATTAAATGGCAGGTGGTAATGAATGATAAGAAAGGTGGAGATCTTGGTGTAAGAAACTTGAAATTGCATAAAAAGTGCATGCTCTTCAAATGGCTATGGAGATACATGCTGGAAGGGAAGTCTGGGAAAATTTGATAAATGCTATTTATGACACCAAGAGAGAGTGGAGACCTTCCTCTGTTAGAGATAGCTATGTAATTGTCCCACATTGGAATAGGAGTAGTATCCCCTTTGTATAGAGTAGCTATAAATAGCACCTCTTGTATTGCATCACAAACAATATCAATATATCATATTTTCTCCCGTGCCTTCTCACATGGTATCAGAGCTATCGTGAGAGATTTATCGCTATGCATAAATTCCAGCGATTCCGGGAAGTAAAATCAGTCACCGGAGCCCTTTTTTTCCGGCGACTTTCAAAGTTGTTTTGCGTCTGCTTTGTCTCGATCAGTGTTGTACACAAAATCCAACACTACCACAAGAGTAGTCACTATCCGGCGACCAAATCCCAGTGAAAATCTCCGGCGGTACTGTAGCTGTCCAAAGAAAATTTTCCGGCGAAGTTCCAACGTTGCGTGGGCCACCTTCCGGTAATTTTTTGGCGACGACTCTTCAGGACAGATTGTTTCCCTTGCAATTCCGAGCCTACCCATCCAGGTTACACCAAATTCCGACCACTTTTTTATTTTTCCGGCGTGAATAGTGATTTCAAAAAGTTGACTTCCGGCCATTTTTTGAAAAAGTTCCTTCAGAACAGTTGGGTCTTCTGGTAATTCCGATCCTACCCCTACTGTTTTTATTTCATTCCGACCACTTTGAATATTTTCCGGCTGCAACAGTAACTTTCCAACTGCTACAGTAGTTTACTATTCTGGTTCAGTGTTCCTTACTCTATTTTCAGTGGATTACAGTTGATTATTTCTCTTATTTGGTAATAATTTACAAGATGTCTTTGGGAATTGATGTTTTTGGGTCTAAAAGCATGAGTTCTGGAAACTCTAATGTTATGATTACCTCGGAACCTTTAATGGGAGGTTCAAACTACTTAGCTTGGGCTTCATCTGTCGAGTTGTGGTGTAAAGGTCAAGGTGTGCAAGATATCTGATTAAACAGTCTAGCGAAGGAGATGAAAAGGCGATAGCGCTTTGGGCAAAATTTGATGCTCAATTATGTAGCATCTTGTGGCGTTCTATTGATTCTAAGTTGATGCCTTTGTTTCGGCCATTCCAGACATGTTATTTGGTTTGGGCAAAGGCTCGTACGTTATACACTAATGATATATCTCGCTTCTATGATGTGATATCACGGATGACAAACTTAAAGAAGCAAGAATTAGATATGTCTACTTACTTGGGTCAGGTACAGGCAGTCATGGAGGAATTTGAGACATTGATGTCAGTTTCTGCTAGTGTGTCAAAACAACAAGAGCAGCGACAGAAAATGTTTCTAGTTCTTACACTCGCTGGACTTCCTCATGATCTTGATTCAGTACGAGACCAGATTTTGGCGAGTCCGACTGTCCCTACAGTTGATGAATTATTCTCTCGATTACTTCGCCTTGCTGCAGCACCAAGTCACCCAGTGATTTCATCACAGATACTTGATTCCTCTGTTCTTGCATCCCAGACAGTGGATGTTCGGGCATCTCAAGCTATGGAGAATAGACGAGGAGGCGGTCGTTTTGGGAGATCTAGACCCAAGTGTTCTTATTGTCACAAACTTGGACACACTCGCGAAATGTGTTATTCCTTAAATGGCCGTCCACCCAAAAATGCCTACGTTGCTCAGAGCGAGACTACAGGTAACCAGGGCTTTTCTGTATCTAAAGAAGAATATAATGAGCTCCTTCAGTATCGAGCAAGTAAGCAAACATCTCCACAAGTAGCCTCAGTTGCCCAGACTGACACTCCTATTGCTGGTAATTCTTTTGCTTGTGTTTCCCAGTCTAGTACTCTTGGACCATGGGTCATGGACTCAGGCGCTTCTGATCATATCTCTGGTAATAAATCACTTTTGTCGAATATTGTATATTCACAGTCTCTTCCTACTGTTACTTTAGCCAATGGATGTCAAACTAAGGCACAAGGAGTTGGACAAGCCAACCCATTGTCTTCTATCACCCTAGATTCCGTTCTTTATGTTCCTGGTTGTCCTTTTAGTCTTGCATCTGTTAGTCGTTTGACTCGTGCCCTCAATTGTGGTATATATTTTATTGATGATTCTTTTATTATGCAGGACCGCAGTACGGGACGGACAATTGGTACAGGTCGTGAATCAGAAGGTCTTTACTACCTTAACTCGCTCAGTCCTTCCACAACATGTCTAGTTACAGATCCTCCAGATCTAATCCACAGACGTTTAGGACATCCGAGTTTATCCAAACTTCAAAAGATGGTGCCTAGTTTATCCAGTTTGTCTAGATTAGATTGTGAGTCGTGTCAGCTTGGGAAACATACCCGAGCTTCCTTTACGCGTAGTGTTGAGAGTCATGCAGAGTCTGTTTTCTCCTTGGTTCATTCTGATATATGGGGTCCTAGTAGAGTCAGTTCAACCTTGGGATTTCGTTATTTTGTTAGCTTTATTGATGATTACTCAAGATGTACTTGGCTTTTCTTAATGAAAGATCGTTCTGAGTTATTCTCTATATTCCAGAGTTTTTGTGCTGAAATCAAAAACCAATTTGGTGTCTCTATCCGCATTTTTCGCAGTGATAATGCCTTAGAATATGTATCTTCTCAGTTTCAGCAGTTTATGTCTTCTCATGGAATTATTCATCAGACATCTTGTCCTTATACCCCTCAGCAAAATGGGGTTGCAGAAAGAAAGAATAGGCACCTTATTGAGACTGCTCGCACACTTCTAATTGAGTCTCGTGTTCCGCTGCGTTTTTGGGGCGATGCAGTTCTCACAGCTTGTTATTTGATTAATAGGATGCCTTCATCTCCCATCAAGGGTCAGATTCCACATTCAATATTGTTTCCCCAGTCAGCCTTATACCCTCTTCCACCTCGGGTTTTTGGGAGCACATGTTTTGTTCATAACTTAGCCCCGGGGAAAGATAAGTTAGCTCCTCGTGCTCTCAAGTGTGTCTTCCTTGGTTATTCTCGTGTTCAGAAGGGATATCGTTGTTATTCACCTGATCTTCATAGGTACCTTATGTCAGCTGACGTCACATTTTTCGAGTCTAAACCTTTCTTCACAACTGATGTCACTTCTGCTGACCACCATGACATATCTGAGGTCTTACCTATACCGACTTTTGAGGAGTTTAGTAATCCTCCTCCACCTTCAACCACAGAGGTTTCACCCATACCAACTTTTGAGGAGTCCAGTGTTATCCCTCCTAGTTCCCCAGCCACAGGAACACCACTCTTGACTTATCATCGTCGTTCGCGCCCTACATCAGGCCCATCTGGTTCTCGTCCTGCACCTGACACGGCTCCTACTGCGGATCCTGCTCCTAGTACACCGATTGCACTTCGAAAAGGTATACGGACCACACTAAACCCTAATCCTCATTATGTTGGTTTGAGTTATCATCGTCTGTCATCTCCCCATTATGCTTTTATATCTTCATTGTCCTCGGTTTCCATCCCTAAGTCTACAGGTGAAGCATTGTCTCATCCAGGATGGCGACAGGCTATGAGTGACGAGATGTCTGCTTTACATACAAGTGGTACATGGGAGCTTGTTCCTCTTCCTTCAGGTAAATCTACCGTTGGTTGTCGTTGGGTTTATGCAGTCAAAGTTGGTCCCGATGGCCAGATTGATCGACTTAAGGCACGTCTTGTTGCCAAAGGATACACTCAAATATTTGGGCTAGATTACAGTGATACCTTCTCTCCAGTGGCTAAAGTGGCATCAGTTCGCCTTTTTCTATCCATGGCTGCAGTTCGTCATTGGCCCCTCTATCAGTTGGACATTAAGAATGCCTTTCTTCATGGTGATCTTGAGGATGAGGTTTATATGGAGCAACCACCTGGTTTTATTGCTCAGGGGGAGTCTCGTGGCCTTGTATGTCGCTTGCGTCGGTCACTTTATGGTCTAAAGCAGTCTCCTCGAGCCTGGTTTGGTAAGTTCAGCACGGTTATCCAGGAGTTTGGCATGACTCGTAGTGAAGCTGATCACTCTGTGTTTTATTGCCACTCTGCTTCAAGTCTATGTATTTATCTGGTAGTCTATGTTGATGATATTGTTATTACGGGCAATGATCAGGATGGTATTACTAATCTGAAGCAGCATCTCTTCCAGCACTTTCAAACTAAGGATCTAGGCAGATTGAAGTACTTTCTAGGTATTGAGGTTGCTCAATCTAGCTCAGGTATTGTTATTTCTCAAAGGAAATATGTGTTAGACATTCTTGAGGAAACAGGGATGACAGGTTGCAGACCTGTTGACACGCCGATGGATCCGAATTCTAAACTTCTGCCTGGACAGGGGGAGCCGCTTAGCGATCCTGCAAGCTATAGGCGGCTGGTTGGTAAATTAAATTATCTCACAGTGACTAGGCCCGACATTTCTTATCCTGTGAGTGTTGTAAGTCAGTTTATGAATTCTCCCTGTGATAGTCATTGGGATGCAGTTGTCCGCATTATCCGGTATATAAAATCGGCTCCAGGTAAAGGATTACTGTTTGAGGATCGAGGTCATGAGCAGATCGTTGGGTACTCGGATGCTGATTGGGCAGGATCACCTTCTGATAGACGTTCTACGTCTGGATATTGTGTTTTAGTAGGAGGAAATTTGGTGTCCTGGAAAAGTAAGAAACAGAATGTAGTTGCTCGGTCTAGTGCAGAAGCAGAATACCGAGCAATGGCTATGGCAACATGTGAACTAGTCTGGACCAAACAATTGCTCAAGGAGTTGAAATTTGGTGAAATCAGTCGGATGGAACTTGTGTGCGATAATCAAGCTGCACTTCATATTGCATCAAATCCGGTGTTTCATGAGAGAACTAAACACATTGAGATTGATTGTCACTTCGTCAGAGAAAAGATACTCTCAGGAGATATTACTACGAAGTTTGTGAGATCGAATGATCAACTTGCAGATATTTTCACCAAGTCACTCACTAGTCCTCGCATTGATTATATATGTAACAAGCTCGGTACATATGATTTATATGCTCCGGCTTGAGGGGGAGTGTTAGAGATAGCTATGTAATTGTCCCACATTGGAATAGGAGTAGTATCCCCTTTGTATAGAGCAGCTATAAATAGCACCTCTTGTATTGCATCACAAACAATATCAATGTATCATATTTTCTCCCGTGCCTTCTCACAGTCTTTGCATACAAATGCAAGGGGGAGTATATGGAAATGCATTAGCAGACTAAGGGAAGAATTCCTAGGTTACACTAAACTGGAAGTGGGGAATGGACAGAGAATTAAATTCTGGACAGATTGAAGGATAGGAGATGAGTGTCTGAAAGCTAAATATCCTAGTCTTTTCAATTACTCTGTTAACAAGGCTGGAAACATTGCTGATTTTTACTCAGATACAGGGTGGCAGGTAGTATTCAGAATTAATTTGGATGATTGGGAAGCTGAAGATTTCTGTCACTTGCACCAACAACTAGAAGTTGTTTTTATTGATCAAAGCAAGGTGGTTCATTGATCTGGGCTGCTGCTAGTGAAGGTAAATCTTTTTCAGTAAAAAGTTGTTACAAAATGATGATAGAGAAGTCAAGATATAGGGTTACTAATTGGCCTTGGAAAATGATTTGGAAGACCAGAGCACCAGTGAAGGTAGCATGCTTTGGATGGTCAGCAACGTGGGAGGTTTGTTTGACTCAAGACAACTTGCAGAAAAGAGGCTTCAGTCTATGTAATAGGTGTTATCGGTGTGAAGAAGAACAGGAAACAGTGAACCATCTTCTCCTCCTGAGTATCTAGACAGTGTTGGGATATATTCTTAAGCATTTGTGGCGTTTCTTGGGTGATGCCTCAAACTGTAAGGGGTTTACTAGAAAATTGGCAATCTCAGAAAATACCTTGAAGACTAAAGCAGATCTGGAGAACCATTCCATTGTGCATCATATGGACATTATGGCTAGAGAGGAACAAAGCTTGTTTTGAAGGGCATCGAAATCACATTATTAGAATTAAGAATAACAGTCTTCATAATCTGTATTATTGGTGTAAATGCATCCCCTTAGGAAATCTGGATCAGTACATAGAATTTCTGGACATGCTAGGAGGGATAGGATAGAAGGTGGATGATGTTGTTTGGGATGTTTTTTTATCCTTTTGTACCATCTTGATACCTTTTTAATAAACTTTTACCTTATCCAAAACAAATGACGTATCTTAAGTAATACGAGTTTATTCCCATAGAACTAGAGCAACGGTTATCATACAGATGTCGCACGTTTAATAAATCATACAAAGTAATTTGCTGCAAAATATTTTGCAGTTAGGCAGGAGTATATTAAAACTTGAATTTTAAAAACTTTTTTAAACTCATTACTATGGTTCATTCAAAACAGAACATCCCAAAATCGCTAGACTGACAGAAAGAATAGCAATAGACTAAAACATTACCTCCATCGGCTGATGTATTCTTCCATCAAAGTGAATAAATGCCTAAATCTGTCATTATATTTCAAGTCACAACTAAAATAAACCAAAAGGTCCAGCGACTATGATGTTATACTAACATGAAGAGCAGCATCCCATTGCCATGATACTTTGCAAAGATTAAGGTTGCTTTAATGTAGGCAATATCTGAGAAGAAGAATATGCCACAGTCATACACAACAGACACGCATAGAATTGGGAAGTATATCCTACAACATGATAAATACAAGCTCCGCACTTCAGACTAATGAACAGGAAAAAGGTCACCATATAGCATTCCCCAAAAATAGTTCATCCCTCCCCTGTAAGGGCTAACCATACCAGCAACATAACAAACCTGCACTATAACAGATTCCTGTGGTCACAAAAAGAAGATATACTTTGCAGTTCCTCAATCCAATGGCACTTAGCAGCTGAAGCAATATGGAAACATTCTTGTGCACAAAAAATGCAAATAAGGATCCAAAACAGAATTCTTTTTTTTTTGTCTCTTTTAAATGCATTACTATGGTTCAATCAAAACAGAACATTCCCAAAATCGCAAGACTGACAGAAAGAATAACTAAAACCATACCTCCATTGGCTGATGTATTCTGAATCCTGGTTTGAGTTATCAGGTAGTCTTCCATCAAAGTGAATAAATGCAGACTAAATCTGCCATTATATTTCAAGTCACAACTAAAGAAACCAAAAGGTCCAGCGACTATGATGTTATACTAACATGAAGAGCAGCATCCCATTGCCATGATATTTTGCGGAGATTAAGGTTGCTTTAACGTTGGCAAAATACAACAACAACAACCACCCAGTATAATCCCACAAGTGGGGTCTGGGGAGGGTAGTGTGTACGCAGACCTTACCCCTACCCTAGGGTAGAGAGGCTGTTTCCAATAGACCCTCGGCACCCTTCCCTCGAAGAACTCCCTACCTGCTCTTGGGGTGACTCGAACTCACAACTTCTTGGTTGGAAGTGGAGGGTGCTTACCATCACAGCAACCCACCTTGTCAACGTTGGCAATATCTGAGAAGAATAATATGCTACAGTCATACGCAACAGACACGCATAGAATTGGGATGTACATTCTACAAAATGATAATAAGCTCAGCACTTTAGACTAATGAAATGCAGGAAAAAGGTCACCATATAGCATTCCCCAAAAATAGTTCATCCCTCCCCTGTAAGGGCTAACCATACCAGCACATAACAAACCTGAACTATAACTCATTCCTGCATCACACAAAGACCAATATAGTCACCATGCTATCAGTTACATATAATGATAGAAATTTGAACGTTTTACCAAAAAACACAAAAAACAGAGCACGCAAACATTAATTTACGCATTATTATAACTGGAGTAGAGGATGGGATGACTTGTAAAAAGTGATCTTATTTAAAAATCAAAATCTATGTACAAAAGACGCTGTTCCCTGACCTGTATTGCTAAACCAAATACAGTGTTTCTACATACTATGACTACGGTACTGGCTTGACCATTGTACAAAAAGATTTTTACAGTCAAAGTCATCAACTTATAGGTACAAAACCCTTCCTTCCTCTAAGGGTTCACTCAAAAATGTAGCGGTACACAGGTATCCCAAAGAATATGCAGCCCTACTTAAGGACTGCACAGTCACACAACCCACATGTAACTGGTGGTCGTATCTGGACAACAAGGTTTCTCCAGTGAATGGTAATGAACAGGAATATACAGCAAAAGAAGCTTCAAACCATCATATTCAAGTCTGACAGATCATCCATGGGAATCTCAAGGCCCATGAAGTCATCATCTTGTAATCCATCATCATCGATGTTCAACCATGAGCCTATGTCCTGTCCCTGACCACCAAGATCGTCAGGGACACCTAAAACATCCATTTCTGGGAGTTGCAGGCCGGATAAGTCAATGGGATCCTCTAGTTCATCCAAGTTACAGCCAGTCTTATCATTTCCAGTGGCACTTATACCACTTGACCTTGCTATTGAAGATCCTAGCAATTTAGGTTGCTCCGATATCTTGCCAAAAAGGCCATTGACAGAGGTGGATAACTGAGTAGTTTTCTGCTTAGGTTTTGTCTTAGGCTTTCTTTCTCCTTTAACATTGGAAGAGGCAGGTCGACCAATTTTGGTTGTTCCATTGCGGGATAATGCCTCTCGGCCATTTCCTTTTCCTTCTCGGTCTCTCTCACTTCTCTTCCCTTTTGCACTGCTTAAAAGTGAACCACCTATGCCTGAAGAAGCACCAATGGTAGTACCAAGAACATCTTCCAACTCCCTCCGCTTGACCCTACTGGCTTCAGAAGGTAAATTGGCTTCAAAAGATATATCCTGGTTTAGCGATGGGCTCTGCTGTGTGCCCAAAGCTGCAGAAGAGATATAATAAAAATTTAAGCGAGTGTTATACTCAATTAACATGCCATGCTTCATAATTCTACACTTGTTCCCCACATTCACGTAGATAGAAGAGGAAAAAAAGAATACCTGAAACTCTAGCTTCTCCTGAACAGCCAGATGTGCTGATATAAGATTTTCCAGCTTCGCCATCAGTGTTCGAATCTGTTTGTCCATCACTAAGGCGGGATATCCCAGAAAGAAACAAATCATTATACAAAGGCTCACTGAAGCAGCTCTTTCTTGTCTGCTCAAATTCTTGGCATCGATCCAAAGTTCGCTTGACAAAAGCTAAGGCAGCTTGCTTGGCCATTTTCCCGCTAGCACTCTTCATCCCATGAGCATTTGGGCCCCAACAACTCTGTCGAGGCAAAATCATTTCAATTCAACAACTTCAAGATTCAAATTACAAGATTTAAGAAGACAATTTCATGTTTCACACAGTTCTGAAGTGCATTACAGCAATATAAACTATAATAGATATTTCTATGATACTACTAGCGGCAAAGTTAGTTGATGTATACATAACTATTTGAAGAACAAGAAAGAAGGAAATACAAAGTGTACACAGAAAGGCAATGAAAACTGTGGTGGGTTCTTCTTACGCAAAGACACAGACAAAGTACATCAGCAGAATATCACCTTGTGTCACAATAATAATACATGTGGAGCACAGGAAGTAACATACAAGAATTAAAACTATAACTTAAACTTCCTGTTTTGGTTTTGGGGATCAAAACCAGATGAACAACATGGCATCAGTTTTTGTTTAAGCAGAATTTGAAAAGTAAAGAGGCAAGTTTAATAGAAGTCCTGCATGAAACAGTAAGGAACAAAATTTACTTCTAAAGCAAAGTAAAAATTTGCAACTGATACAAGTTCGCATAAAACTCAAGCTGTATAAATAAATTACTGAACCAACCATTACTTAGCTTCAAGCTCCTTTACCCGGAAAAACAAGAAAAAGAAAAAAATCCACCAAAGATGGAAACAGAAAATGTATCTTGGTCATATTAATTTGACCATATTCACATGAAGAAGTCTTGATTCATCATTGTAATACGAAACAGAAGTTCTCACCATAAACATAGTGCATTATCTCTGAAATCCAGTCCCTCGAGTAGAGAAGCAGTTAACTACAATTGATCCCTTTTTTCCAGGGATGTAAATCTAAATTTAAGAACAGAAAGTGCTTAAAAGCTTCAAATTACCATATATTTTTCGTATGCCATTGCAACCAGTTCATCAAGAGCACGCTGTTCAAACTCCCTGTATGATAAATAATTTGAGTTGTTACCAAAATGAATAGTACTAAGCAAAGATCAAGGTTAGGCATCTGAAAGAAGCATAAAATTATGTACTTCTCCTGTAACTCTCTCATCTGTGTAGCTGAATTCAGCAGTTTCCCAAGCATCCTCTTCTTCTTAGAAACCTACAGAATAGGCAATCCATGAGTAAGGCTCCCAATACAGAAACCAATTGCTTGGAAGTTTCAGAACAATAAAGGAGACTAAGCCCCTGTTTGTCTTTATTAAGATTAAGATGTTTGATTCTGAACACGTCTTACTATTAGGATGTTGTCTCTAGATCAGTATTTGAATGGGCAAAGTTTATCTTTTCTAAAGACTAGTAAATCTAAAATCTAAATAAAGTAATAATTAAATATTACATCCATAAGATATTGAAGAATTTTAATTTACAAGGTGTTGCAAAAACTGTTTGTTTAATGAAGCACACTCTACCAGCGAGTGGCAGTGGCAGCTAGTGGTGGTTGTGCGTTCGTGGCTAGAGGTGATGGTTGTGCGGTGGTAACTGGGGTAGAGGTAGTTGGTGGTGGTGGCGCGGTTGAGGTTGGTTGGTGAGGTGGTCAGCCCAGCAGTGTCAGTGGAGGGGTTGGTTGGTGGTGTGGCTGGTTGTTGGTGGTTGGTGGCATTGGTTGGTGGTGTTGGTCAGTGGTGGAGGTGGTGGTCGATGATGGCGAAGGTGGTGTTCGCGATGGTGGTGGCGCGGTTGAGGTTGGTGGTGAGGTGGTCGCCGCAGCAATGTCAGTGGAGGGGGTGGTTGGTGGTGCAGCTGGTTGTTGGTGGAGTTGGTTGCTGGAGTTGGTTGCTGGTGTTGGTTAGTGGTGGAGGTGGTGGTGGATGGCGGCGAAGGTGGTTGGTGGTGGTGGATGGCGGCGAAGGTGGTTGGTTGTGGTGGTGGCTGGCGGTTGAAGTGGTTATGGTGGTGGCTGGCAGTAGAAGTGTAGGTTGTGATGGCTGGGAATGAAGGTAGGTGGTGGTGATGGTGTCTAGCAGTCGAGGTAGGTGGTGGTGATGGTGGCTGGGAATGAAGGTAGGTGGAGGTGGTTGGTGGCGGAGACGGTGGCTGCTTGACGGTGGTGGTTCACTATAGAGGTGGTTGACAGTGGTAGTTATGCAGTGGCGGTTGACAGTGGTAGATGGTGGTTGTCAATGGTGTTGGGCAGCAGAAATTGGTGGTGGATGGTAGTGGACAGCATAGTGATAAAAAGTAATCTTCACCTGAATTGAACATCGATAATAGATTTGAATGAGGTCAGACATGTTAAGAGCAAATAAATGGTTGTAAAAGGAGGAAAAAACAATATTCACTAAGGCCTCATTTGTTTGCACTTATTGGAGATCTGAATGTGTCTCAGACATTAAGTGCGTTTGTTTTTAAAGTCTGAATCTTAATTATTCAGATCTTAATCATTAAGTGTGTTTGTTTTTTTTAATTCACAACCACTTAATGGGTCTGAATAGGTCTGTATGATTAAGATCTATAACAGAGACTTAATTTCATTGAGATGCTATCACATATTCATTATTAACTGCCGCCACCGCCTACCATTATCAACTACCACCATGCCGCCACCACCAACATACTCAACCACCGCCACCGCCACCACGCCACCATCATTCTCAATCATAGCCGCCACCATTATCGACCATCACCACCTACTATCCCCACCACTCCGACCACCATCATTCTCACTCACAATCAACACTCATCCACCTCAACTACCACAACTCACCACCCCATCACTATCAACAACCACAGTCGGCACTGCCCATCATTGTAACCTACCACCACCCACCCACCACCTTCCCCGGTCACAACTACTACCACCACCCGCCATTATTAACTATCACCACTCATTACCATCATCCTTAATCATAATCGCCACCACTACCAATCACTACTAGCTACTTGCATGAACCACCATCATCAACCAAAACTACCACCGCCTCTAGTCGGCATTCACCCATTAGTCATCACCACCAACAGCTATCATATTTTAAAAAAACTATATATTTATTGATAGAATATTAGATTAGTTAGTATTTTATTTGAATTTTATGTTAATTAATTTTCAAATAAAGATAAATTTTATACATTCAGATGTTAAAATCAAACAGTCTTAATTATTTAGTATTCAGATTTTAATACACATCTTAATATATTCAGATGTGCATTCAGATTCAGATGTCTTAATCTTAATACACATCTTGATATTCAGATGTGTATTCAGATTCAGACGTCTTAAGTGAAAACAAACATGCCTATATCATTATATCTTATTCCAACAAGTAGGTTATAGCACCAGCGTAGAGATAGACTTCAGAATGTTGATAGTCACAAATGTGTCGTGAAAAATACAGATATGGACAACCAGGGATACAACAACAACATACCCAGTAAAATCTCATTAGTGGAGTCTGGGAAGAGTAGAGTGTATGCAGACCTTACCCCTACCCCGAAAGGGTAGAGAGACTGTTTCTGGGTGACTCTCGGCTCAACCAAGAATAAAAAATCTAATTGAACTTCACGCTTATAACATCCGACCTCATAAGAGGAAGCATCCATTCCCTTCTCATTAAGGATGGAAGAATGTGTGGACTTGAAAAGCTGACTCATTCTCAGACAATCACCAGTTGACTCGAATTAAAGGGAGTAACAGGAAATGTCGGGTAAACAAGGTCGGGCAGAGGAAGGGAGATTCTTCTAAGATGTATGACTTCAGAAAAAGGATAAAACTTACCATTTCATGGTGTTTCTCATGTAATTTACTAATTTCTGCACTGATCTCTTCATTTCCAGTCTCAGCAAAATCAGACTACATGGAGAATAAGCAATCAGCAAAACAAGGATTAGTAAACTCTGAGAAGATATAGCTCAAAGTACAACACTATGCAACATGCTGAAATTCCAACAACCTACCTCCAGGTCCGGATATATTCCGATACAGCGAATCTCCATGAGAAGCCGCTCATCAATGGACATCTCATTATACTGATACTCGGAACAAACAAAGCCAGGCATTGTTACTTGTTCTGAAAGTAGACCATTTTGTGACTGATCATAGCTTGAAAAATTCCCCCTTTCGAACGCGGATGTAACATTATCGGCCTTAATGTAGTCCAAATTATCAACGGAACACCCATTGGCATTTATGCTGTATCCATTAGAAGCCCAGTATCGGGATGTTTCACTGCTATATAACATCTGCCCACAGGAAGTATGAGATTCTGAATCCATCTCAATTTCAAATCCAGATCGATAAACATTGGAGTTAAGGTCTTCCTTTCCATTGCAATAAAGCTCTTCAGGTACTATAGCAGCCAACAGCCTCTGGTACAAGGAAATACCCTTGGGTTTACTTTTTCCAGAGACTACATGTTCTGAGGTAAGATCGGAACTCTGTGTTTCATTTGTCTGTCCCCGGACTTCATTCAACCCAAAACCACTACTTAAACTGGAAGCATCAGTAGCAAAAGTCACAGAGGCTGCTGCTGCCAGATTAGTCTCATGATTTATCTGTTAACAGAAGAACAGTACGGATTAGTGTATATCAGAAAGGCATAAGTAGAGGGAAGTCTATTAGCGATATCGCGCAACTACGGTATTATTTTACTGTATTGAACTGTCTGCATATTATCACACACTATTATTGATCAACTAAAATTCATGAGACCTGCTATGTTACTTTAGATATGTCAATCGCAAGTACACACTAATAACCAATGTAAAACTGCAACAATATGGAGGAACCAATTCACATGTTCCACAAAATAAACTGCATGCTCTTGTATGCATGCTCGTCACTCTAACACGAGAAAATGGAGACGTGATTTCACATTAAAAGAATATACATATATAATGCTCATCAAGCTTTCAAAAGGTGATGGGAGAAAATCCAGCTTCTAGCAAGACTCTTCACTTGGTCCCTCTCCCCTCGAGGAACAATTTCCAGAACTCTACAATGTTTCTACCAATCCTATTCGGTGATTTCAGACTTCAAATCTAACAAGGCTGGGACATCACATTCAGGAGGAACTGCAGTGATTGGTATCTTAAGAGGGTATGTCTCTCTTACAGCTGCTGAGCAACTCCGCCCTTCTCCAGTCTACACCGCACTGTCTCCTATGGAAAGGACAAGCCAACGGAACATTCCAGAACATGCTACTCATTCTTAGCAAGCCTAACTCTCCCACCCCCAACTGGCTTTAGAGAAATCTGGAAGAATACAGCTTCTTACAAGGTTGTGTGCTTCACATGGTTAGTGACAACAGAGGCACGTGTGACACAGCAAAATCTACAGAAGAGGGGTTTTCTATCTTGAAGTAGATGCCCTTTATGTGAGGAACAATCTGAAGATGTCAAACCACCTTTTCTTGCCTTACAGAATCACATACCAGATCCGGATCTTGATGTTTGCCCTATTGAAATTAAAATGGTCTATGCCTTACACAACGTTGGAACTGATCCAGTGCTGTTACAGGACGGGTCTGAGCAGAAGATTAACAAGTGAATGAAATTCCAGTCCAGCGGGTATTTCGCGGGTCATTTGGAGCGTTGTTTTTGAAAGTGCAAAGCACAAAAAGAAAAAGAAACAAGGTCCTGGGACTTGAAGCGGAAAGCGAGAAGTGAGTGCATGCTTCGTTAAAGTGAGATTCAAGAACCGACCACATCTCATTGAGATCACTTCGCGTATCATTACTTGAAGCACACAGCTTCATCCAAGCAGCAATATCTCCTCATTTTGCATTGCTTCAATGCTTTAAGCAACAAAGCATGACTTTTAATAACGCTGTTTGGAGGAATGGAAGATTAGAATTCTTTAGGGCAACAAGGAAAATGTAATTAGTCTCAAAAATAGATTTGTTGTTTTGCTCACTTTTTGGTGCAACATGACAGATGTAGATATGTAGATTGCCATGCTAGACTTACTAAGTTTGTAACCCAACTTGTAATGCAACTAAACCCAGATGTAACTCCTCTTCTGCACTCTATTATTGTTGGAAATATCTAATACGTTCTTGAATCATTACTTATCAAAAATATAAGTATGCTCATCAAAATAATAGCTTCGCATCCTAGAAATGAAAGAAAGGGAGCTTCCCTCGACCACTCATATCAATTAACTTACACTTGCCTATGGATTTTCCCAAGGCTGAGTCAACATCATTCAAAATTACAAATAGTTAAAGAAAACAAGTGCAGCAAAAGGACGAGGACCAGTTGTGAGTGGCTAGTGGTCTACACTCCCACCCCCCATCCCCCTTCCTTTCTCCCTTCCAGTTTTCCAACTTAAATATGAATAGAAACTACAAGGGAAATCAATCCTTAGAAAGACAAACATTGGATGGTTTTTGGGTAACATATCCATTTTTTCCTTTGTCTATTCACTGAGTTCCCCTTNGGAAATCAATCCTTAGAAAGGCAAACATTGGATGATTTTTGGGTAACATATCCCATTTTTTCCTTTGTCTATTCACTGAGTTCCCCTTTTCAGTTTGCTGTTTCCAATATGTGCGATGTGGGGATGAAGCTCCAAAGCAGGAGCTAGCCTTCAAACAGGGGCGGAACTTCACTCTTTTTTTAGGAGAGCGAGAACAGAGCTATAAAGAAACAAAAGGAGGGTAACGCTGAATTTTCACCTTTCTTTTCTTTTTTTTCTTTTTTTTGGATAGTAACAAGGTCAACTTTTTTCCCATTTCCGCTGGAGATGGGAAGATGCACGCCATATACAATCCATGAGTAAGATGCAAAACTGAAACAACAGTTGACCTTCCACCTGAGCCCCCTTTTATTAGTCAACTTCTTACACTTTTATATCCGATGATTAAAGAATGTTCGAAGACCTGAACTTTGTTGCTCCTCCAATTTTATTTTGAGCATTAAAGAGTACACCAATTGGAAGATGATGTTCACAAATCCTTCCCTTCTCAGCTCCTTCGAAACAGACTATACTCTAGCTTTTTAATATGAATAGAGATAGGTGTGCTTTTTTGCATGGCTAGCGGCTAGGGGAGTGATCTTGACTGCTGAAAATCTTCGAAAGAGAGGAATTACACTTGTTAGCTGGTGCTACATGTGTAAAAGCTGAGGGGAAGAAGTTGATCATCTTTTGTTGCATTGCCCTGTGTCCTCGGTTTTGCGGAGGGCAACCTGAATCTTTTTGGTGTTCAATGGGTGATGCCAAGCACGGTAAAGGAGATGTTATATAGATGGGCCGGTTACCATAGAAGAAGAAAGCAAAAGGCGTGGAAATTCGCCCCGTTAGCTCTCATGTGGATAGTTTGGGGGGAGAGAAATAGGAGAGCTTTTGAGGGGATTGAGCCTCCTTTTTCACATCTTAAGAATAGTCTTTTATCTTTGATCGCTTTTTGATGCACTCATATAGCCCCTACTTGTATAGAAGATTGGGCGTCTTTTGTAGAGAATCATGTTTTGATGTAAATTCTCTACTCTTTGGTATACTTCCTGTATACGGGAGTTCTCTCCCTTTTGATTAATACAATTTACCTTATCAAAAAAAAAAATGAATAGAGATAGTACTAAAAGGATAATCGTCACAAGATATGGCAACAAAGACAGCCACCACTGGACTCTATAATGAAAAGTAATACGGAGAGGGGGAAGAAAAAAGCATATATCTAAAAGCAACTAACATGTATACATGATAAGAATTACATAAAAGACTTCAAAAGTTCTTTGTTTCCTCCACAGAATGGTATGCATGGAAATAGTCATACCGACAATTTCCAGTTCTCGTGGCAGCACCCCCAAAAAAAGGAAGCTGATATCTATGTGTTATAAGCAATCGATACGGCAGGAGATCAATCTTGCCATTATCATCACAATTATAACACCTAAATGAGTTGCTCAAATATCCATATTTAATACACAAGTCTAAAAAAGAAGACGAGTTGCTCATATGCTTATAAGTAGATACATAAGTCTAAAAAAGAAGACGAGTTGCTCATATGCTTATAAGTAGATACATAAGTCTAAAAAAGAAGACCTTCCACCTGTTGCCTCAGAAAGGCTGTGTCCATTTCAGATATAAAACGAAAAATTGGCTCCATCTGCTTCCAGAATGAGCTCGAAAGGGCTTGAGCTGCAATAGAAATAGGATCATTAATAAGATTTTGTTTAATCAACAAATCAATAAATAAGTAAATAGCAACGCGTTAAGTTAGTGCCAAAAAGATAGATTTTTCCAAAGAAATCTAGAAAAAGCAGGTGACTAATAGTATACCAGTGTTAGTAACAGCACTTGCAGCAGCCAGTAGCTCTTCATGGCCATCATCTGAACCAACTAATGAGATGTAACAATAAAAATCAATAATTCAACACCTATAGTAATCAAGCCTACATTGCGGCTACAATACCTAGAAAATCCGCTGCAGCATCCATCGTTGCATGCTTCTGTCGTTTATAAGCCTTACGATCAGAGAGCTTTCTTGTAGGTGGTCTGCCTCCTTTGCTGCACCAAGTAGTTGCATAAAATCAAAAGTAATTCTGTTGCACCAAAATGTAGCAGAAAAAGCATACCAACTGTCAATTGGAAGGAGAGAATGTTCAACCTTTCTGGCTTATCCAGAGCATGTCTAGAGGTTCTAAGTTGTTTTGCAGTCCCAACATTGCCAAGCTTTTCAGCCATCAATGGCATTAGGGACCTAGTGGAGGTAAACCCCCTGCCACTCCGCCCTTGTCTGCGAATACCATCTCCAAAGTCTTGTCCACTAACCACCTTATTTTTCCTTGGCGGTAGGAGCAGTGTTGACATCTTTTGCACATTCCCAGATTTTTCATCCACTTCGTCAGACCTCTTGCTCTTGTCTTTAGACTTGACTTCAGCAGCTCCTAATTCCTCAGTTTCAGATACAGCTGGAGAGAAGACATCACTTTTTAACTTTTGTTGAGGGGAAGAGCTAGACAAACGTCTCTCATTACGTAGAACATCGCTTGTGGTATCCAGGGTAGATATTTCGTCATTATTCGGAACAATGGGAAAATTGTTCCTTCTTGCGGGTCGAGATATCTTCTGGGGCCTTTGGCTGGCCCATTGAGCAACAGGTGGTGATGAGGACCTTGTAGAAGGGTTGCGCTTGCGATTACCTGCCCCAACAGCAGATGGAAGTTTGTTTGTACATTGAGAGATTTCCCAATCATTTGCAGCAGCTGCGCGGTGAACTGGAGGAGACAACTTCGGTGCAACGCCTGAACCTGATCGTGGAGCCCTAGTAGCAGGATTCAATTTCGTGCTCGATGCAGGGCTAGGGGATGTGAATTCTTCACGAGCAGCTGCTTTCATTGTACTGGATGAATAGAACAGATAAAACTGAGTAAGGAATGTAAAAATAGGAGGAAAAGAATACCTAGAGAAAGAGATCTCTCGTAACAGTTTTATAGCATAAGCTCGCAAAAGAAATTGCAAAGACCAGTCTACAAATTCAACCAAAATGAGTGAAAAAGGAAGTGCAGAAAAAGGGTCTCTCATACTTGCTGACTGCTTTGAGATTCACCCTTTCTTTCTCTGAGCCAAGAGGACGATCTCTCCTATCTAGGAGATGAAGATGGTTATCTTGGTCAATCTTAGACAGGGAAGAACGTACACCTAAGGTAACATGCTGTGTTGCACCATCAGCTTTTCCGACAGCACCAGGAGCAAGCCCATGTCTAATTGAACCAAAAGAAGATCAGTTCAAAATAACAAGAAGTGCTTCTGAATATAACAAAAAATTACAGTTTTACCACTTATGCCTTCACAAGAATGATGTTGAACCTTCATGGGAAAAAAGATTTAAATACGCAGCAATTGAGTAATGTGTATCCATGAAGTATGGTATTTGCTCTCATCAAATTATAATTCTTCCTTTTTTGAAAAAGTTAGTTATAACTTTCCCGATTACATCTCCAATGACACATGGAAGAAGATACTTTCTTCTATAAACTCACCAAAACCCTGTTTGACCTAATTGACTACCTCCCATTAAGAATGTAAGATAACCAAATTGACTTTCAAAGAAGTATATTTCTCTTGACCTTGAGGGCTAATACTATGATGGAAACTAAATAGCATGTCCAGTATTCAAAATTCACCATCTTATTTCTAGCACAAACGATTAACTGAAGGTTAAAGCTCAATTTCTTCAAATTCACATCAATCCCATATAGAATACGATGCAAGATGAAACACAATCATGCCAGAAATAGGAAGTTACTTGTCATGGCTTGTCAAAGGAAATTCTGAGGGTCAAATATGGTTATGCCACTACCATAAAATTTAGCAGTTCCATATATGGGTTAATAAGTACTGAGGATCAAATATGGTTATGCATCTACCATAAAATTTAGCTGTTCCATGTATGGGTTAATAAGTACTGTGCCATTTCTTTAGAGCACAAATTTCAAATAACTACCTAAAATGTCAGCAATTATGCCTGAAATGTCGATAATTTACACCCAAAAAAAAATGTAAGTTCTCTATCTTTTGGTATACCTCTTGTATACGGGAGCTTTTGCGATTATTACTGAATATATTTCTTACTTGATCAAAAAAAAGGATAAACTGCAATTTCAACACAAGGTAACAATTCAAGATGTCATGACAACAGATGCGTAAATCCGTAACAGGCATTGAGTAACACCCGGCTTTCCATGAGAGTCCTCATGCCAGCTTACTGGACACAAATAGAAGTTCACTAACAAGTAACAACATTAGGGTATTAAAAAATTCTCTCCTATTTCTATAGCCGTCCTCACTTCTCTCTACTTCATATGGCCCCACAAGCACACCTTAAGACTTTCTTAAGTGCCTAATTATAAAAGAGGAACAAAAAACGACTAAATAAAGCAACTGAAATAACCATAAGATATTATATCAAACAACCCCTACCTTTTCCCCAAACACAAAAAATAAGAAGGGTAAGAAGCTTCAGTTTACCTATGACAAAAAAACTTCAAATTTTTACTTTACCGAAAGTGTCAGAGGACCACTACTTTTGTGGACTTACGCAGCTGGTACAATTTAGTTACAGTGACATTGTTGCTGAGAAAGAAAGCACTTCTCAACTAATCTCAGAAAGGTAGTCTATGAAAAAACAACAAATACTACTTTAAGGACGTGTATATGATCCTGCAGAAAAACATTTAGACGATATGACAGAAAAAACCTGAACACATGCGTCACTCGGATTTTAAATTAAACATTGACAGTTACCTGAAGCCATGGGTATCAGTAAATCTTGATCGGCTATCACTAGGAAGCCGCGGCTGCACTCCTTGCTTCGGTTCCCTGTGGCCATCAATAGGTTTTGTGATTATGGAGCCAGTAGCATCTGGTTTTATTCCAGAACGCTTCTTTTTCATCCTCGACTTCTCCCAACCCTCTACAGCAATGGATGACGTACGATCTTCTCCCTGAATTGTGCTACCATTTGGAAGCCTCAGTATCTCCCTATCTCTATCCATGTTCCCAGCCGACCTTGTGGGAGTGTTTGCCCTTACATCAGGCTACAATCAAAACAAAATATCTTTTAGTGTTGCGGATGTCTAAGCTGGTTCCAAGCATACAGTCGAATGAAAGAAATGAACTGAGGTGAGGAAGCATGCATTAGCATCAAGTAGAAGGAAAGCGCAATATACCGTGTCTATTACAGGAAAAAGATATCTTTAGAGGATACTTCAAAAGCAAGTATCTGTCCAGTTGCTTATAAATTTGAACAAAAAGGCAACTATTAAAAACACCTCCTGATAAACTCTACCTTGGCATCTCACTCCACAAACAAACAAATGAAGTTTTAGCATAGGAAGAAAGACCCTATCTGAATGCTAATAATATCCAACTTTTTAAATTTTTTTGTTTTTGAGACAATTATCCAACTCCATTAGTTCATTTATTAATATTTTTTTGAGAACGGTAACAATAAGTTCAAAAAAAAATTATTTTTTTTGAGACAAGCATCCAACTCCATTAGTTCATTTATTAATATTAACCAGAATTTTAGCAAGAAATGTAGATCCAATTTCAACGCCCAAAATTATCGAGCTTCATTAGGTAGTTACTGTGTTAACCCACATTTAGCTGATCTTACCTAGCAATAAAGAGCAAAGAAAAGGAAGACTCTCTCCTAAATGAGACACTCCTCTAGCTTATTCAGCAATATTATTGCAGGAACAGGAGATACATAGAAGATTGCAAAGCGGAATCAATCAAAAGGCCAGCAATATAGACAATACCTCCGAAGAGTGAAGTTAAATCAAGGTATAAAAGATATAAATAAATTACAAAATAATGATACAAACCCTAACATCCGCCATAGAAGTTCGAGTGCGTTTGCTTGGAACAGCAGTTTTAACTCTTTCTTCAGACTTTTGTTGCTCCAACTCATAACTACTGGCAGTACAATGACTCTGCGTTCCCATTTTACCAATGCTTGTCCCTGAAACTGACCGATCACTTGGGAATAATGTAACGTGTCGGTCATTTGCTAGGGAATCAGACCGAGATCTCTTCCTTGATGGGATGCTTGGAAAGCATTTGTTGAGCACAGATAAAGATTCGGTGAATATCTTCACACGTTCCCTGATATTTCATGGATTTATATGAGTACAATATCTCCAGAAAAACTAGTTGACTAGGGAAAGCATATACAAAAAGAACACAGTATCCAAGCAACTACCTAGCTTTAGTGCAGCTTTCACGAAGACCAGCCTTCAGCCGTCTGGACTCCTCCGCAGAGGGAGAAGGAAACAGTTTGCCTTTAGAAGACACCAATGGAGAATCCTCCACTGGCACACCTAAAGCTAAACTGGTGAGCCGCTTGAAATCAATATTCCGATTAAGTTTGTGGTCAGTAACCATAGCTTTTGGATCAAAACGTAAGCACTGGAAAAAGTTAACGGCATCTGTACGTGTTACTGTTGAAGTACTTCTCGTCATGTTTGGAAGAGAAGATAAGATTGGATTCTCCATGTTCTCACGGAAGCTACCCGACCTATCCAGTGAAGCAGGTGCATAGGATCCACGCTGCCCAGAGGCATACAGTGGCCTATCTGGACTACTGGAAGATAGATCAAATTTACTAGATGCTGACATTGCATCAATTTTCTGACACTCTTTGTGTAACCCACCCAGTGAACACAGCTGTGCATGGCACTGCTCTTCAACAACAATGCATGAAACCCAACTCAATGTCCTAATAAATGTGCTCTGAATGCAGTACTCCTGCAAGGATACCGTCATGAGAACATGAAACCCACAAGTCCAAGACTAACGAAAAGTTGAGTAACCTACTAGCGGCTCTAAGTCCGGAGCAATAAAGTAAGTCTGTTGTGTGTGTTTACACGTGTATATATATAAGCTCAGCAAGAAAACCAAAATCTGCCGACAATAACAAACGCCATAAGGATACACATAAATGTCGAAACCACTAATTATAAACTCAATAAATGAATAACTCGACAAACTTGTTGTCAACGTGAAATATTTTCATGAGCATTCCAAGAACTGCTATACATGAAACTACTATTCACTTTTTAAAGTACTCAGCCAACAAAAAGCTGAATACTGCCAGCACGTGGACAAAACAAGCGGTGAGACTCATATCCGATTATTAAATAGTACTAATAAATTTTGAATTCAGGGCAATGTTGTTGAACAAGCTCCACTGATACTTCTTCTGCTACATTTGCTATAATTCTTTTAATAGCTGCAGTTTTTCTTTTGTTGCACTTCCCAAGTTCAACATCAATTGGCAGACAATTTTAAGAATCTTATCAAATTCAACCTTAAATCTACTTTCCATTTTGAAAATATGCTATTAATATCAAAATAAATAAATCAAAAACAGCTCAGCAAATAATAATTCTACTGTGATCAAATACTCAGATTTGACAGCCAAAATTCTGGACAAAATGCCAAAAAGATAAAAATTCAAAAAATATAAACAAACACATAATTCGACAAATTTAACAAAAAAGCAACAAAAGTAAATATAATATACTTTACCTGGCAGCTTAAACTGTATAAATACACTAAAATCTCAAACAACGACGTGATCTGTACAGCCTTGGATACGAAAATTCTGAAACAAATAATTTAAAAAAAATTAAAGTAGTTCGGGGTTCAATTAGGGTTTTGACAAGTTCGATTTTGTCAAAAAAACATAATAATTAGCTCAAAAGGACAGTAAAAATAGAAAAGGAATATCGTACACATTCAAAAACGAAATGAAAATTCAGATATGAATTTGTGTATCATATATTCACATAATAATGCGTGAAATAAATATAGAAAAAAAATTATTACACTGGCGGAAGGTCGAAAGAGTCGTTGATCGGTGGAAGGAGGTCGGTCAAGCAATAACGTGGATCTTTTTTTCGTTTTTTCGCCGGATTTTAGCCCGAATTTCATTTTCTTAAGCCCGAAACTGACAAATGGACCAAATGGCTTTTGCACCTACATTTTGGGCCTCGAATTTTAAGCCACTAGCCCATTTTATTGGGGATTTTTTGCGGAGCTCCTATAGCAAAGGTTAACGCCTTATTTATTTTAAAAAAATATCATTTAAAAAAATTATATTTTATAGATACCTTTTAATATTTATAGCAAAATATCTAATTTTGGTTACCTCATACCCCTAAGCCACTAAATACGCTATTCAATTACACTATTTTCTTTCTCTCTCTACTTTGATACATGCCATTATCTTCCCCTATCCCATTAAAATTTTCGCTCTCCTCCTCCTTCTAACGGCATCTTCTCTTTGACTCACTCTAATCAATGCTTCAAAATCCAGCGACCCAATTCCTACACCATGGCCAAAACAATTCCACTTGATTCTCTTCATGAATAACACCAAAGGGGATCTTCATGTTGTTGATTTGTGGTACGATTATCCCAATGGCAGGAACTTCAACATTATCCAAAACCAATTGGGAAAGCGTCTTTACGATTTGGAATGGGATAATGGCACTTCTTATTACTACACTTTGGACGCTAACAAGGAATGTAGGGTTATGCATTTTCCAGTGGGAATTCTACGGCCTAATTGGCTACAAGGCGGAAATTAGGATTTGTTTTTGAACAAAGACGACGGAGTTTGGGGATGAGCAACTTCATTTTCTATTAATATATTTTAATGTATTTTCAACGTATCACGCTATATTTTCATGTATTTCATTGTATTCATTGTCTTTTTTTCCATTGTAATTCAATGTATCTCGTTGTATTCCATGTATTTCATTGTATTCACTGTCTTTTTTTATTGCATCTCAATGTATCCCGCTGTATTCTATGTATTTCATTGTATTCACTGTCTCAATCATAGATGATGGAATCATCAAAGATTTGACCTTTTCGAACTATGTCTGTAACTCACTAGAGGCCCGGGAAACAAAGAGAAGATGTGTACGAACGAGATATCCAGCAACAAGAAGAAGGAAAAGGATTGAATAGAGGAACTCCCGAGCATTTGGCGATCTCAGATGTGTCGATACATATTGTGTATCAAGAACAAAAAAATGCGGATATGGTCGTATGGTAAAATTTCTCTTTGCCAAGGAGAAGATGCAGGTTCGATTCCCTCTATCCGCCCAAGATCCAAGATAAAGTAATTTTATTACTATTTATTTATTATTTAATTTCATAAATAGCATTAAATATATCCTTAAATTAAGGATGCCATATGAATGTATTCATATGTTTTTTAATTAATATAATTTATGTATTCAGATGTATTATATAATTTCTCTGAAGATTGCTATTTTTGGGGGTATTTTTCGGTTGAGAATCTTTTTTATAACCGGAAATACAAATTTTGTGTGTTATAATTGAGTTTGTTGAGTTATATTAGGAGTCTATTATGTTAATTGATACACTTTCCGTTTAAAAACAATGTAATCCCATGTTTCACGCCATGAATACAGTCGAATACACTCGAATACAACAACTGATTAGCTGGACTTTCCTGATTCATGCCTATTTTGCTATTGTATTCATGAATACAGTAGCTTAAATACATCTAATACATCTTATAACAACAGAAAATATATCTACAATTCGTAATATAACAAATGGTATCTATGAATAGCTAATTACCACTAAAAGATAGTGTTTTATTAAAATTTCTCATTTTTTGCAGATGCCCTTCCACAACAAACTATTTACCTGTCCCTATCCATAAAGTTTTGGGAAACTACTAGCTATGCCCATTTATAAATAGCTTATTACGAAAATTGGTCAATTCATAAAATATTATTAATATTAGCCAATTAGCTATTTGTAATTAAAAGAGGTTAATTGTTTGCTTTCTTTTGAGTGGGTGTTAATAGAATAAATTTGATACATCTTAAGGAGCTTGAATATCAGTTTTGGGATGTTTTGGTGGAGTTTTGAGGTGGTTTGAATTGAAAATTCGAAGTAGAAGATGAACATGAAAAAAAGATACTTGTATCACATATGTATCATAATAGTATCAAATGTGTATCACATGTATATCCATGTATACCTGTGTATGAGATACATACATGATACATGTGTCATAGAAGAATTTTGTGAACTCAATTTTAACTACGAATTTTGATACTAAATCAGTCCAAATCAGCTCCAAACTTCCTCAAATTTTGAATATTGACTCATCTATATGTTTTCGATGTATTTCAACCATACCCATTGAAAAAGTTCTTTTTTTAGCTTAGATTTTTGGAATCTTGTATACATATATTTTTTTGCATTTTATCACCTTTTTTGTTACCTCATCCATGAAATTTCCTTTCTATTTTGCATCTAATGTTGTTGATCATGCTTAAAAATATGGAAGGAGATCTTTGTGTGTAATTCTTGGAGAGAAACAACCTTATTTATTTGGATTTTTAATTTTTATATGTGTTTGACTAATTTTGGTAAGTCTATGATTAATGGCTAGAGGTTGATAAATTGAAACTTGTTTGAGACATTTCTGTAAGATTCCCTAAAGTTTTGTCCCTACCCATTGTTTTTAATGCCGAGCACTTCCAACCAAATAAAGTCAAGGTAAGCTACTAAAATCAAGTCAAGCCAAACCAAGTCAAGTCACGCCACACCAAATCAAGTCAAGCCAAGCCAATTCAATCCGAACCAAGTCAAATCAATCTATGTTAGGATGGGTAGTTAGTTTTAATTGGATAGGTATATATTGTAAGTAGTTTTCAAGTGGATAGAGAAGGGTAATTAGTTTAAGCTCAATGGGTATTCTGCATAAATTGTTCCATTTTATTTCTAAAGAGAAAATTGCATGAAATAATTGTCTTTAGCTGTTTTTACTACTTACATTATTTGATTTGTTAACTCTGTCACTTAGTGATTATTTGTAATTGTGTTGTATATGAATGTGTTCAAAAACAAAAACAAACAAAAAATTTAAAAATGTGTTTTCAAAAATGATATATTAAACACAGTTTATGTTGTCGTATATATTTAACTAGTGTGCCTTGTGCAACTCATCTCAATAAGGATAATTTTTTTAAAAAGAACACATAAGTAAAATATCAAAAATTTGTATTTGAGTTAGTATAAAATAAAGTTTGAATTAAAAGTATAAGTTATTGAAAATGATGATTATTAATCTTATTTAACTAACCCAAGAAACAAACTTTGCCCATAGAAGTCTTTAATCATCTCAATTAATATGTTCGACTCAAAATTTACTTCAGTCTCATAACCTCATTACTTCAATTTCACAAATTATCTTACTTCCTTTTTAGTTTTCGCAAGAATGTGTAGGAGTTCTTTTAATTTTTTTTAAAGAAAACTAATGTTTTAGGTTAATTGTGGAAAACACAAACATGATCCGCTAACTGGCCTACAACATTTATTGTCTTCCTGTCAAGCAAAATATAAATTATTTGTAACGACTCGATCAGTCATTTTGAGCTTTAACATTCTGTTTGGTGGTTTAACATTTTGAGTAGCTTCATATCATGTATTATGACTTGCATGTATGGTCGGTTTCGGTTTTCGAGCGATTCGAGATTGATTTGAAAGAATGATTCTCATTTTAGAAGCTTTAAATTGGAAAAGTTGACCAAGTTTGACTTCTACGTATTTGATCTCGGATCGGAGTTTTGATGGTTCTATTAGGTGCGGATGGTGATTTTGGATTTAGGAATATGCCTGAAATTGAATTCGGAGGTCCCTAAGTTGGTTTAGCTTGTTTTGTCGAAAGTTGGCAATTTGAAGGCTTAAAAATTTCTTAAGTTTGACCATGGTTTGACTTTATGTCTATCAAGTTTGAATTTTGATTTCAGAACTTGAAATAGGTCCGTTTTATTCTTTGAAACTTTTCTGCAAAGTTTGGTGTTATTCCGAGTTGATTTGATAGGAATCGGATGCGTGGTTGTATTTTTAGAAGTACTGGAGTTTCATTGTAATTTTCATGTATTTTGGTGTTCGATTCGTAATTTCGAATGTTATTTTGGTGTTTTGATCATGCGAGCTAGTTCACATGATATTTATGGACTTGTGTGGATATTTGGTGTAGAGCCCCGAGGGCTCGGGTGAGTTCCAGACGCGTTTCGAAAAGTTTGTGTGAGTTCCAGTTTTGCTGGTTTTTGGGTTGATGCTTCACGTCTTGCAAGTGCGAGGTCTTGTCTGCATTTGCGAGGTGAACTGGGGGATTGCAGAGTTTGCTTTTACGAACTTGGGATCGCACTTGCGATTTGGACTCCTGGGCAGGGAAAGTCGTATTTGCGATCAATTGATCCTTTTTGCGGAAGGGGAGGACTTCGCAAATGCGAAGTCTATGTCGCATTTGCGACATCCCCTGAGTTCAACAGGCATCTCTTTTGCGATACATTCTTCACAGCAAACCCCGGGTCATATTTGCGACTCCTCCAACTTAAAATAAGTGTTGAATTTTGGGACTTAGCTTTATTTATCACATTTTAGAATCCTAGGCTCGGTAGGAGCTGATTTTGAGGAGAGATTTTCATACCAAATCATTGGGTAAATGATCTAAATCTAATTTCAATTATAATACATGATTGTTTATAAAAATTTAAAAATTATAATATAAGATTTAACATCTAAAGAGATTTGAAGGGATTTTTTTACTATGTTTTGAAAAATAAAAATTTGAGATTTGAGAGTCGAATTGGACTCGGATTAAAAAATAAAATACATATATGAATTTGTTGGGTTATGGGTAGTCAAGATCCGCCCTTGAACTCATGTTTTGATTAGGCGGGCCCGAGGTTGACTTTTGTTGATTATTGAAAAATTGTGTAAAGATCTTAACTTTATTAACCAAAACTGGTTTCTCTTGCATTATTTGATGATATTAAATTGTATTTGGTTAGATTTGAGCCGTATGGAGGCGAATTTTAAAGGAAACGCCATTTTTAGTGTTAATTTAGCCTAGTTGAGGCAAGTATCTTGCCTA